GGCTGTCCTGGGTGCCGCAGGTCGCAGCTCGAGGGGACGACCCGGGACAGGGGCAGAGGAGCGGCGGGAGGCGCCGGGCCCGTCGCTCCGGCCCCTTTGTCCCTGCGCTCCGTCACCCGGGTGGGCGGTGGGGAGAGGTGGCAGATGGCCAGTGGCAGAGGCGGCCCCAGGACCCCTGGGAACCGCGCTGAGAATCGACTCCAACCTACCCCTCCCCAACACCGTGGGGAGGTGGATCAAAAAATGGGTCCGTGGCCAGAGAAGGAGGGATGGCGGTGAGATGTGGGTTACGACCTGGTATTCGGTTTACGTATGCGGAGAGGGAAAGGGGAGGTAAAGTCCGGGCATCCGTCTGTCCCAGCGCACCCGGCCGTCTGCAGGCAGAAAGGACGGCACCAAAAGTCGTCAAAAGAAGTTCTGTAAAACGTCAGCCTGGGAGAAAGATGGATGGAAAGTCATGTCCCCTGACACCGGCCCCAGGAGGGGCTACCCCCTCTATTTCTGCAGGTGCCGACTCTTCTGTTCCTCTGCGCTCGATTCTTTCTTGTTTTGAAATCCAAAAGGCTGGTCTACCCCGCCACCGCTGCCCGCTCACGAATACACACACACACACCCATACACGCACCCTCAAGCTCCTCCCTCCCACATGAGCTACAGCACTCTCCTAGGTGCAGAGCTCTCCTACTGCTATTAGCTCAGCCCTTATCCCACGGCATCTGCACGGCCTCTCTAGTGTCAGCCAAAACCGAAGGGCGCCTCTCTCCACCACGCGCCTATCCCGGTGCCCTCAGTATGTCTATTTGTTCTGATTTACTGCAGAGGCAGGGATGGTTAAGGGCCCTCTGGAAAGGTTCCGTTTCTTAAACTGCAGGGGGGCTGAGTGGAGGACAAGAGCAACAACACTCCAGAGGCATTTATGGTATTATACCGCGCCAATCTTGGCTATGGTTACGGCTGTAAACACATTTATTTCATTCTTGTGAACCAGTTGTGATAAATACTGCATAAAGCAGAATAAAAAAAAGACAGCGATTAGGACTGCTTAGTAAAAGGGCTGACATCTTCTCAGTGGTTTTTCCTTCAGAAAAGAAAAATATTTTACTACAAGTAGATCCCTTTCATCCGTAAATTCCGATAAATCGCTTTTCTTACTGTCTCCAGCATCCCGAAATCCTTTTTTCTCTGCCTTTTTTGGTGCCATTGTCTCTTGTTGCATTGTCTCTCTGGCGGGGCTTTCGGGTTTTGCTGCCCGCACTATGCATGGGGGCAACACCGTGAGAAGGGTCGGAGCAGAGAGGAGGAACACACACCGCACCCTCCCTCCTCCGCGGCCGGCCGAGGGGGAGCTGCTGCCCCTTCCCCCTGCCCCCAGGCCATCCCGGCCCCTCCGCGCCCCTCCGCGGCTTCGCTCCGCGTTTCCTGCCACGGAACTGAGGCTGAGGGGGCGATCCCGGCTCTTCGGGCTTTTCCGTGGGAGTGTGCCCCCGCTGTGGCCCCAGAGTTCACCCGGAGCCCCGGAGGCGGCTCCTGCTTGCTGAATTCCCCCGTTTATTTAAATGGAGTTTAGGAGAAGTTTAAACCCTGTACCAGGTTTCCTTTTTCTTTTTCTTTATTTTCTTTTATTTTTGTTTGATGTTTCTGGGTTTTGTTTGGGTTTTTTGGGGGGTTTTGTTTAATTGTTTGGGGTTTTTTTTTTTTTTTTTTTTAGTTCGTTTTGCTTTGGTTTTCTTTAAGCGTTGTCAGCATCCGGAAATCTGGGCACAAAAGAATCCCCAACATCCCCAACCTTACACGCACGTTGCGGTCCAATTTAACCCAGTGGCAGAGGAGTGAAAATGCCGGTGAGGCTGCTCGCTTTCCGCAGGGACATGGCTGGAGCAGAGGGAAGGAGGAGAACCAAGGCCGAGGTTTCACCGCGCCCGCAGCTCAGCCAAGCTGTTGTTTTAAAAGGGCAATAAAAGTGAATTATGACTAAACCCCTTCTCACTTAATGGTTTTAGACGGGGATCCCCAGCCCTGGCAAATACGTAAGAGGATTTTTATTTGTGAATGTGTTCCTGCAATTGATCTCTTTGATGACATTCTCATTCATAGAAAGAGTTTGATTTATGACTTTCGGAAGAATTGCGTTCAGCCCTTCCAGCTATAACCCACGCATCCCAGCTCCACAGCGTGTTCCAGGGCTGGGAGACAACACTGCTCGCACGGATGGACAGCAGAGCCCCGTTCACAAACCCCCAGCCAAGCCTCACTCGCTTGTAAGCGATGTAAGCACTCGCACTCACTCGCCAGGAGCCGCCAACGTCCCCGCCCGGCTCCCCCGGCCCCAGAGCGGCAGAGCCTCGCTGGCATCTGTGGCTCGGTTTTAGCCCAAAGGACGGGGCTCACCCTCCGCTTTGGGGTTCGGCAGGGCCGGCTGGCAGGCAGTTTGCTGGAGGTTTCGGAAAGCCCGTCTTGGCCGCCTCCAGCAGAAGTGGGGAGCCCGAGGAAACTGTAACTTTAAAAGTCAGGGTTTCCCCTTTACGTTCTGAGTCTCACCTCTCAAGAAGGCGTACAAAGAAAAATATCTTCGGGTCTGCCCTCGCACCGCCCCCGAGAAGGATGGAGTGGGGAGGCCGGTTCCTCCCTAAATACTTTTTTCTTCCCCCTGCGTTTCTGCCACCCTTTTGATTTCACAGGCACTAACTTCTCTATTTCCTCTCCTCCTAGGACTGATTTCTTGGATTACTCGGCACGTGAGAAGTAACCAACCACATTCTTTGTGAGCTCTGATAAATTTTAAGATACGTTTTCTGAAATATCTTGCTGGCTGTTAAGCGCTGCTTTCTAGAATAACAGGATTATTAAAAAAACCCCCAAAAAACAACAACCAAACGCCTTTCCTTTCGTTCATGTAACAGGCTGGTTTCTGCAGGAGACGTTTATCCTACTGATTCTCTCTTACATTATGCCTGTAACAGAGAAAGTCCTCGTTCATGCTTTTGTTACAGCTCAGGATTTTCAAGCTTTGTATCCTCACAGACATAAGATGCCACATTTATATATTAAAAGGAACAAATCTCCGTCAAACCTGCGAACAGTTTTAATTTCTTTAGTTTGTTTTTCCTTCCCTTGTGAGAATCCTTACAATAAAGAAAATGAAAGATGTTTTCCTCTCTAATTAATGTCCTAAATTGCCAGAAGGGAAGAGCTCGTTGTCAGAACGTTGGATTTTAATTATTAGTAAATTCATGGTGGAAGGGATGGGGAGAGAGACCCGTCATGTTATCCATCTTGAAAGCAGAGAGAAAGCGAGGAGAAAGAGAAAGAAAAAAGAGAAAGCTCCTTGTAGCAAACAAGAATTTATTCTACCAAAAATACTTATGACAACGCATCCTAATGCAATACAAAAATAAAAAGAAAGTGAAGATACATTCCTATATGATCACTTTCTTACAGACCTCATATATTGCTTTCATAGAAGGACCTAGAATGTGGCTAGGTTAAAATTGAACACAACTAAAACTTCATAAGAAACGGCAAAATGGCATATCAGAGGGAAGTAACAAACAGAAAATACTGAAGAGGGCAAGGGAGGGGGAAAATAAAATTAATTCACTGGGGAAAAAAAATTAAGAAGAGTAAGGAGGAGGAAAGCAGGACCCTTGGAGAGGACGTCTTAAATTTCTTAGTAATTCAGATGCTGCAAGTCAATTGTGGTGAGTGTGTCTGTAAAAAAGTCAAAACTGTCAGCAGAGATATCTACGGGACTGTCCAGAGATCCTGGCAAACTGGGGGAAACTGCATCTGAAAGCTGTAGGCAGGAATCTGTGGAGAAAACGTTAAAGTCCTGTAAAGAAGGGACATCTAGGGCCTCAGGACTGTCATTGTTCAGGCCAGCTGCACAGTTCTGGGCCATTGTTGAGAGGCAGTTTTGAACAGTGGGTGACTGATGTTGAAAATGTTTCAGATTTTTCTCATTGCTCGTTAAAGGCGAAACGGGGAAAGTTTGGGATTCGCCATTGTGCGCATTCTGCGCCTGCTGCTGGGAGAGGGCATTCTGCTGGAAAGCGTAGCCTTCCCGCTCCAGGAGAGCGCCGGACACGTTGCTGAGGGCTTGCTCGAAGAGGGATTTCTCCTCCTCCTCCTCCTCTTCTTCCTCGTCCACCGCTTTTTCGGGGTCCTCTAGGTTCTTAAATTTCCCCTCGCTGTTTTGATTCTCCTTGCACTGGGTCTGTCTCTTGTGCTTCATCCTCCTGTTCTGGAACCAGACTTTGACTTGTCTCTCAGTCAGATCCAGCAAGGCTGCAATCTCAACCCTCCTTGGTCTACAGAGATACTTGTTGAAATGAAATTCTTTCTCTAGCTCCAAAAGCTGGGTGTTGGTGTAAGCCGTCCTCAGGCGCCTAGATCCACCGCTACCGCTATCGGGGATTTCAAGGGGGTCTGTTAAAAAAGAAAGAAAAAAAAAAAAAAAAAGAAAAACACCACCACCACACGCACCCCAAAGCATCACCGCCAGAACGGCGAAAGCAAAGACACACGGACACACATACAAAACAGATAAATGCACGGATTGAATTTCAGCACCCCAGCACATCGCATCCCGGGGGATGGGGGGGAGTGCTCTCTCTGCATGTATGTGTCTATATCTATATGTCCATATAGCATAAAATAGCAACTGCAACAAAATGGCCGCCTTTGGATGCAGTAAACCCATTGTGTTGCTCTGCTGAGCGCCCGGTGCTGCGTGCCCCTCGGCCACCTCCGCCAAATCGCTGCCTCCAGCTCCCCAACCTCCCCACACCAGAGCAAACTTTATATTAGCCATAGCGCAATTTATAATTAATGCATCAGCTGCTTAGCTGAGCGGGAGCAATCTATCACTCTTCATTACTGTCAAATATCCTAACTCTAGGACGGCGAGACAAGAGAGGTCAGCTCCAACTCAAATAAATCATCCCGCATTAGGCAAGTTTGGGGAAAGTTTGGGTTTCCATCGAGCCCCGCCAGCTCCGTCCTTCCCGCCCG